CCAGGTTTTCTATGGAATATCACACAGAGCCAGTCAGAGTGATGTGTTAATGGCAGTGCTTCTGGAGACAAGCTTTCTGTTCTTTCATAACTGATCGTACAACACAGCAGTCGTAGGCCTAAATCTAGTGCAATATTCTAGGTGATGGCTTTAGGATGAGAATGTCAAAAGCAAGTCAGCTGAAGTCGAGAAAAGAGATGATCCTCCACAACGACCTCCCACTGAACCAAAATTCAGTGATGGTGGCATGTGATTCTTCTTCTGTTCACTGGCAGATTGACTTTGTAGCCCATGATGACATCCCATACTCCTCCGCTGGCTCGGATGATGTATACAAACACATAAAGGAGGCAGGTAAGAGCAACTTTAAATTTTTAGCACCTTCATTTTCAGCCTCAGCTCAAATTCTTTTACTGCCTTTTGACCACAACTGCTGTGAGAGAAGTAGTAGAGATAATAGCACGTTCTCTTACGCCCTAATGGTAGGTACTGCTGACTTCAGCAGAAAGGTTCACTTTGTAAAACCACAAAGGATGTCCCTGGCTGAATTCCTGCTGAAGTCCTGCTGTATCCCCCAGGAAACCATTCAGATCTATCAAGAAATAGTCCCATCTGGGTTTTAAAAAGAATTTTAGGGTGCTCGACTAAGAGCTTTGAATGGATGAAAATGAGTTTAGTTCCCACAGCAGCCCAGCCAACTTCAGAGGTTTGTTGATAACCGCAAACTGATGGCTCCTTGACACAGCCCAGCCCTGAATATGGGCAAGCACAGGCAGCCTTCAGGAATCATTAGGATCCATTTCTGATTTGCACCAAGGGTTCTTTTCATTACACTGGGAGAGGGTTTAAATCAGTACCAGAATAATTCATTTGCCATGACTATTTAGCACAGTTTGGTTGACTGCTGTATTACACTGAACATGAACGTGCTGAAGTCATCAGCAGTTTGTGTCACTTTGGTTCAAGGAAGCTGAATTAAACGTGAGGACGCAATGTTAAGCCACTGTTTGTGAGCAGCAGCTATCCTAACACAGTGACCAGTGCAGCAGGAGGAACTGATCATACCTTTCTTCTCCTGCTCCCTGGAGATGCTGCTTTGAACCCTGGCAGATCCATCCTCTTCCTGATCCACATAAACATATATATTGGAGGCTTAAAAAAATTCCAGAGCAAATCTGCCTGATGGGAATTTGTTGTGGAAAGTGACCTTCTCAAGCTATACAGTGACAGCAGTAGACTAAGTATTGACTTGAGCTGAAAGAATAAGCTTTTTATAGCAGCAGTTCTTGATCTTTTTCCACTAGCAAACCTCACTGTGGTGTCAGACTCACAACCCTCCTTTGGGAACTGCTGTTCTACAGTTTCAGAGCCAGCACCAGCTTACTTCACTAGGCAATGGAACAAACGTACCTCTGGTAAGGACGGGTCACCGAGGGACATGCAGCATACATGCTGGCCAGGCAGCTCTTTTGCATTTCTTCTATGAGGTGCTGAGTGCACAGGACAACATGACAGGAGCCCTTGGTGTCACTGCATCATTACCAGCCTGAGCTGGAGAGTCCCCAAACCTGGCACCTCCTTCTCTGCTGTTCTTGGGCATGGGTGCAGTGCACGCGAGTCCTGATGAGAAATTAAAACTTTGTTTGCAGAGCAGAGTATAGACTTACAGCTTCAGGGACTTGGGGTCTGTCCTGTGTCCATCACTGAGAGATCAGGAGAAGTGACTTCAGTCTTGTATGGCTGAATTTTGTTACCTATAAACTGGGAATAATGTTACCTTATTTGTGAAGAGTTTTGAGATCTAGTGCTGTAACAGTCTTAACACTCCAGAACAGCATCAATTCGATAATGAATTTCCCCTTTCTCCTAGGGTGTCTTGGTTTAAATAGACCAACGCTGTGGATGCACTTGTGCATTTTCCTTAGTTCCAGTACTCCCATTTTCCCATGTCAGGTTGTTGGGGAGCAGAGAAGCAGATGGGAACTGTAGAGCCCCTTGTGTAGATTTCCATGGGCTCCCATTTCCCCACTCCCTTCAGTGGGTGGGAGGGCACATGGATGATGGTGAGCTGGGTGATGGTGCGCTGACTAAACCTCTGCACATCTGTTAACGATTAGTTTGGAAAATATGAATCACATGAAAGCAAAATCAATGACTAAAGGTGATGTTCTCATACATGGCTTTGTACATATACTTGTAAAAAAAAAAACAAACAGCTTTTGGCTTAGCTAGGGTACAGTTTGGATTTTGTTCATGCATTCTTGTAGCTGCTATCTATAACACCTTCTGGCTCAAAGTGGTTTTCACTGCTTCCAAAAATAGTTTCCTGAGTGACTTCTGCAAGCCTGAAAAGCACGATCAGGGAAACCTCTCTGCTTGTGATTAAAATAATCTATTTTCTAGCAAAGTATTAATTAGAGATCAGAAATAAAAAATATCACACAGCATTTAGTCACAAGAGGCTGCTAAGCTTCTTGATTCCTTCTCCAGATCTTTTTCTAACCCTGTGAAATCAGCTAGCAATGCCTGCCTCCTCCAAGTGAATGTGAGGATTAATTTGCCAGTAGCTACAGCACCCTTTTAAGACAAAGCACTACTTTTCTTGCAAAACCATTTCCAGTCTTACCTTACAGCTCTCTCTTTTCAGCAGCTTGATGTTGCAATTACATATAAGTGATAAGCAGTAATTTTTGTAGCCCTAAAATCACTGCTAAACCAAGGTGTGGTAGCACTCTACTATTATTGCCTTTGTGACTTGCATTAACAGTTCAAGTGATCTTGTATTGATAAAGAGCAATTAAAAAGCAATATATACCTGAGCTGTGTTGAGGAAACACAAGTGTATTAATAAATGGCCAGTTTTCTCAGGGACAGATCTGTCAGAGCATGGAGAGTGGTTATGCAGCACTGACATGGCCAAGTAGATGTGAAATGGGGGCTGTGGAGACAGGTACCCTCAGTCCCCACAGTATATCGGTGTTTGTTCACACTACCACCATGCTTCACGTTCCTGTTACAAGCTACTGGCACCTCCAGGGTGTTTTCCAGTTACTGTAATGCATCTTTTACCTGAAGGTGCTTCCCAGCTTTGGCCAAGGCTAGAGGCTGGTCTGTTTTACTCAGCAGAATAAAGTCTGTCAGATGGTGCAGCACAGAAGTGGAGAGAAGAGTGGAAATACACAGGAGAGCAGCAAATGGCCTTTCAATAGCCAAGCTTCCCCCCACAGTGCTTTATCTAACATTAAATAAGGGCTGTGCTTATGGAAAGAACTGCTCAGTGAATTGCCACAGCTGCGAGGTTTAGCCTCCCTGGCGCAGCAGCCCCTGCCAGTCTGATAACCAACCACCAGAGCACAGCTGACACTGAGAAGGGGGCAAGTTTTAGCCTTTCTGAAGACTTAAGGACAAAGGAACAGTACAGCAACCCAGTGCCTTCCCTAAGCTCACACCAGAACAACAGGAAAGAACTAGGAATAAGATGGGCAGAGTTGCAAGTCTCTTACCTTTGGTCAGGCATTTCTGTGTCCATCCTCAGCTACATGCTGCAGTGCCTGGTACTGCCATGCTTTCTCAGCAGGGCTTCTTTTCCCACTGTGCTCAGGAATGTTCGTACCAACGCAGAGAACTGAAGGCATCTCAACATCGGACATCATCACAAGGATCGTCCGGAACTACGACGTGTACGCCCGGCGCAACCTCCAGCGAGGATACACCGCCAAAGAGCTGAATGTTAGTTTTATAAATGTAAGTACATCGATCTGCATTTGCTTCTGAAATGCTCTCTCCTAGGACCTGAATGCAGAGTAAAGGTTAAGAAGTGAAGATATTCCTCCTGCTGCTTTTAAAATAGCCGGGAAGAACTTAATTTAAAAGAAACCAGTGAGCTGAGGGCAGATTTAATTGCTCATATTAATTATCAGCTTCATTTCCATCTTATGCTTCCACATTTGTGACAAAGCTGCTAATCCCTCTTCCTCCTTGAGTTGTAGGTGACTTGATGACACACTAGGAAGGAGCCCACTCCCCACCACAGGCTTCTCAGCCACTCACCCAAGACACGATTTCTTTCTTTATTCCCATTGTGAGAAGGCAGCACACAGAAAAGATTTTGCTATCCAAACTTTCTCTACAGTGCGACAGGATAATAACCAAAAATAAAAAAAAGCCAACCACTGAGCAGGGAGATTACTAGAAGAAGCTAAAATAGTTTTTAAAAGACAAGGGAGTGTGTTAGGAAGCTGGTATGTAAATTATGCTGAAGAGATCAGAAGCCACAATAGGTAGGACAAGAGTGCCACTGGAAAGGATGACTCACAGTATTCAGTTTCCCTGTCCAGAACTGCCCCTTACCCTCCAGTGAGGAGTAAACACTTAACAGAAATGAAGGCTGTACTTTCCTTCATTTTCTGTTTCAAGTCTTAACTGAAAGCCTCAAGATAACCCACATAACTGAAACCTTCCTTGTAATTGGGCTGGCTCACAGGAGGACTTCCCACCTCCTTCCCTGGAGCTGGAAAACCCACTTATGAAGGACTGAGTAAATCAGAGATAAATCTGGCAGATAAATCAGAGATCACAGGCACAAATATTTATTTCACTGTGCTTTTTTTTTTTCCAGTCCCCTACACCTCTAAAAATCCTGCTTGTAAGTATTTCACACAGAAGGATCATGGTTGTAAATATCTGTTAAATTAAGGCAGGCTGGATGCCTAGGGGGTCCTCAAATTTATCCTTTTGCAGCTCTGAGATTAAGATACTGTTGCAAAAGGTATGCTTCCCCCAGTCTCAGACACTGATATATCCTGGAGTCCCTCCTGGCATTTGGTTATTGAGCTTATAGTAATTTAAATGCAGAAATACTAATTTGCACCAGAGACTGTGTTTCAGAATTTAAAACACAGGATTTCACCAAGGCAGAAGAGCGCTGGTTTCCTCGTTATGGCCTCCAAGAAGGTTCTTCTAGTGCTTCATGAACTAGAATAAAACTCACCTCAGCACTAAACAGTATTTGTTTTAAAAATAAATTCAAGTGCCCATTAAATGAAGTTCACAGGGAACTGAAAGCCAATAGCAATCTGTCCTTCCACACAGACCATACACCTTCAAGGACACTGCGTTAGTTTGCTGGCTGTGCTCTACATTTGCCCAGAAGCATTTCAAGAGAAAAGCCCTTTAACTCTGAAGTGTTTTAGAAGCTTGGCCCAACGAGAGCTCCCTCACATCATCTTCTCTGTCTCCCTTTTTCTGTGTGAGTTAACAATTAGGAGTTTGTTCTCTTTTCTATGAAGTGTGCTGGCCAGAAGCTACTGGCCTACACAAATCTTTGTTGCAGCCAGAAGCTCCTGTGTTAGCCAGGCTTGGAGTTGAAAAGAGTTTTCCTTCTGCTCTGCAGAAATCCAACTAAAGAGACATTTTGGTCCAAGTTAACATCCGGGCTGGCAAGGCAGCAATGGGCTGTGTTTATTAGGAAACCCAGGGAGATTTGCCTTTTGCTTGCTGCTAAGTTTGAGCTGTTAATTTCTCACTGGTATCCTTCACAAGTGCATTCAGTTTGAAAATACAGAAAGATTCATGTAGTGGATTAAACACAGTAATCACACAAGCCAGTATTTTCAATATGTACCTTCTGCACTTCATTCCATAAACATTAAATTCACGTTTATAAAGATAATGTGGGAATAGTTAACCAAGGCCATATGTATTAAGATACATTAATGCAATTTTTTTTCTTCTACTCAACTGTCAGTGGCAAATTATTTCCAAGTCTCTCTATATTAATCTCTGTCTACACTTTTAAAACAGGAGAAGAAATACCGCTTTCAAAACCAAGTGGACAAGATGAAAGAAAAAGTCAAGAATGTGGAGGAAAAATCAAAAGAGTTTGTCTATAAGGTGGAGGAGAAGAGCCATGACCTCATTCAGAAATGGGAAGAAAAGTCCAGGGAATTTATTGGCAACTTTTTAGAGCTGTTTGGACCCGACGGAGCCTGGGTAGGTATTCTGCCATCCCAGGAAGTCTGAATGATTTTCATTTCTCCTCTGTAACGCAGATCAAGAGCAGATTATTTTGCTGCAGTCTTTGTTTTGAAAGCCAGCACAGTAGGACAACGCCAAACCTGGTTGCTGAATCCAGTAACACATGCCAATAGTGCAGCGGGAGGATCTGCCTCTCCTGGCTGTCGCTTCTTTGGGATAATTTCTGTCTTTTGTGAAGGCGCGATGCTGAACGTGATCCTGCATTCAGCAGAGCTGCAGAACAGCAACACACAATTGTTGTAACTAACACAGTCTGTTCTCCCCATTAGCACTGAATGGGACCACAGAGACATCAGGGAGAAATTACACACTGGAGTTGGTGAGGGAAACGGGCACTGAGAAGTTTTTTGATAGTTCTTTTCATACTCTTTACTCAGCAGTAGGAGATGACAATTTTCTGACTTTAAAAACTACTGATTTAAAGTTTAAAAAAATTATTTTACATGCCAGGCTCATCTAACTGACTGCAAGGAAGGCTCAGCTAGAACTGAAGCACGTTTGAAGCTCTCCTCAGTACGTGCTGGCTCCATAGAGCCCATTTACCAAAGGTCCCCAGGTGCCATGGAAAGGCAGTTGGGAGTCTGCAACAGCACCCTTCTGGGGGGACACCCCAGGGCCTTACCTGCTCAAACCAAAGTCATGCACTGAGTGGCGAGTTGGTGACACTTCAGAGCTCCAGAGAGTCCTGGCCCCCATCTTTCAGTTCTGATAGCTTGCCAAACCTTGAGATGCTCTGTGTTCTTGTACTACTTCCCTTTGCTACGCTGAAATCAGTAGCAAAGCTTAATCTGAATGTAGAATCTATCATTTGTTTGAGCAGACCTTCTTGGACCTTCCCATTAGAAGTCAAGTCCTTTTCCGAGAGCTCTCTGTGCAGCTGTGTTCTGGTGAAAGCCCAGGCCCCAGCCAGACCCTGCAGTACAGGCATCACCTTGGACCTGCTGCTCTAGTTGCAAGCTCTGAGTGAAGCTTTTGCTCAGGCCAAGGAAGTGGGTGTAAGCACGGAGGAGAGCAGCAAGCAGTGCAGGGCGAACTGAGGGGAGCAGAGTGAGAGCTAGACAAATAATCCTGCAGAACAGCAGGATGCTTCAGAGGTCACATTTTTGGACTGTGGCACACAGACAGTCAGACAGCTCCCTCCTCACTTGATAGCACATAGTACCTGCCTCTTACTGGAGTTCTCATCTTTTCTCTGCTGTGACTTGCCGTGTTGATGACCACTCAGTTGAGAAAAGCCTAAAATTAGGCTGTGAAGGCTTCAGAACAGAGACTGCACGTTTATGATCTCCTTACAGTTATGTCTGTCCCATGGAAAGGCAGGTGCTCTCTGAATAACACTGGTCCCAGCCATATAAACAAATAGCTTATTTAGCAGTTTCTTCATTGACAGTATCATTTTCCCTGGGGAGGGGAAGAGGGTAACTCTTCTGATGAAAAGCCCAGTTTTCCCTGCATTGACCACATCCACATGAAGAGTGCTTCCTCTGGAAGTTACTCTCCATAGAGCTTGGTGAGTGTTCCCCATGAGGGATGGTCCTGCAGCCATAGGTGCTGAATAAATAAAACTAATGCTAACAGAGCATGTGGAACCCACAGGAGACGAGTTTGTGTGGAGGAAAAGAATTTCAAAGCCTTGATCCCATTCCCTGGTTCTTCCCCCTCAACACTGCACAGTGATGACTTTTAAAAAACCTTTTGCTGATAAGACATTTTACCAAAGTGATTAGAGAAAAGCTGTTCTGCGAAGGTCTTTGGCAGGGTGGGGCTGGAGGTGGCCTCCTGTTTACTGAGTTAGTGTCCCAGCCACAGAGTAGGAAATCTGGTGCAACCACAGAGATCTTTGCTAAGAACAAGACTGAAATATCCTTGCAGGGTTGTAGGAAAAGCTTCAGTGATAATGAGCTGAGAATTGTTGTGGCTTTTTTAAAATCAGTTTGAGCCTTGCAACAGGAAAGACTTTTACAATAATGATAACTTGCTATTAGTGTCAAAACTGTTATTAACATTAATTTGCCTTATCACTGTTAGTTAGATGTTGCTTTTAATGTTGACATTAAAAGTACAGGAATCATTATGGGCATGCTAGATTCCTAGATCAGTAATTTGCATGCCATTAATATGCTATTATTATTTCACAAATAATTATTATAATACGCTTCATGCTAGCATCAATTTTCTAAAAGTAAGGGCTACGTAACCCACAAAAAAAGGCCTGTTTGTGAAAAGGTTAAAATGTCAGTTTGCAAGTGTCAGGATGTCTGTAATTCCTTGGCAGTTTTCCCACCTGTGCAATCCTCATGTGTGTTTTTTCTGTGAGAGAGTCACAGAGGTGCCAGAAACAACAATTAATGTGGCAGGAAACTTTTGTGCTGGCGTGAGAGAGGACCACCGCGCAGCCCGGCACGGAGGCCCTGATGGCAGAGATGCTGCTCCACAGACATGGAAAGCAGCGGGGTTCATCCCACCTTCTCTCAGAGATGCACGAGCAGGCAGCTGCACTTCAGGTCAGCAGAGAGAAAGCAAGGCTCACAGGGCAGGGTGTCTGTGCCAGTCTCTCCCTTGGAGAAGACGAGGTGTCCCTTCAAAGGGAACAGCACACAGAGGGAGTTACCACAGAATCATAGAATGTTGTGAGTTGGAAGGGACCCACAGGGATCATGGAGTCCAACTCTTGCCCTGGCATAGGACAGTCACAAGATTCAGACCATGTGTCTGAGGGCCTTGGCCAAATGCTTCTGGAATATTGGCAGGCTTGGTACCATGACCACCTCCCTGGGGAGCCTGTTTCAGAGCTCCACCACCCTCTGGGTGAAGAACCTTTTCCTAATGGCCAACCTAAACCTCCCCTGGCACATCTTCCTGACATTTCCTCTGGTCCTATTGTTGGTCACCAGAGAGATCAGTGCCTACCACTCCTCTTCCCCTTGTGAGGAAGTTATA